GTGCTGATTAGAAACTGCTTTACTCAACTTTTAAGTGATAAGCCATCCATTATGTTTCTGGAGACCCATTTCTTTATCTCTAGCGACCACCAATACTAGCGGTTAGAGGTTTGTTTTCTCTTTTCTGGGTTTTCCTTAAGAGAACCAATGTATCTAACACCCTTTGCTTTCTCTGATTTTTCTTCTGGGATTTTTACAGGTCCATAATTTCTACTGTAATTGATTAGTTCTTTTGCAACTTTGCTCCGTGTCCAAATTTTATGGTTCCTAGCAGGAGAACACAGTTGTGAACCTGTTGGCTGAGAGGGGGTGGTGAAGGGAGTAAACCCAGGACCAGTGGAACCAGGTCGATTAGTTGGGTTCCCAAGAAATCTGTCTAGTCTATCCACAGGGGTTATAGCTGCTATGGATTTTTTGGGTTTTTTTTTTGAGGAAAATTGCGGTGGGTTTAAGTGATTCTGGAAGGCCTTGAATGAAAGGGGTCATAATTTCAGTTTTCACAGGTAACAACATCGGTGATTCATAACCAGCAATTAATTTTCTTTTGTGTATCATTTGCAAGCAGGCAGCATTGTGAATGTTATCCAGTAGTTGGTTGGGGGTACCAACTATAGCAATAGGGTCCCCCCTTCCCAAGGGGTTAAGCCCCTCTTCCCAATAAGCTGTGTGCTGGGTTAGGAACCATGGGTTACCGTGTGTCTCCCGTTAAGAAGACTTCATGTCCCCAGTGCCCACTGGATTCCCGTTCTTTCAATTGAATTTGATCACCTCCAGTGAGAGACACTCGGAATACGTATTCTGTCTCTGACTCGTGAGGGAGATGCCTGTACTCCCTTTTTCTTTTTCTTTTTCTTTTTTTTTTTTCCCCTTTTTTTTCTATTTTTAGTGGTTATATGTGGATCAAGATCTTCATTATTGATATAATTATATTCTGTTTTAATTAGAGGTTTCAAACTAGGACAGCAGTGTTCCCCACAGTTTTTATCTGAGTTAGCTCCTTTTGAGGGTAAATTTGATTAATGAGAGGGGTTTCCCTCTCTTCTGTTTCTTTTAGCAAGTCAGCATTTTTTGAATTTTTATCATAGAGGGCTGCTCTCAACAGATTGATCTTACTTCTTTCTTCATCCAATTGTTTTTGCAAAATTTTAACTAAGTTTTGGAGGGAGTCTGTTATAGTTCTTTCCTCACTTCTTCACTTAAAGCGAGTTTCTATAGCTGCTGTAAAACAAGCTCCCAAAACTGAGCATAGTTTTATTTTTGCCCAGTTTAAATTTTGTTTCATGTTGTAAAAAAGCATACTCTATCAATCACATTTTCCAAATTAAACCAGTTACTAACTACCCACTCCTCCCCTCCCGGAGAAGGTCTGGCATTGTTTTGCTAACAGAACATAAAATGCAGCTTTAACTTCTGCACTGCTGTTTTCAGTCATTTTTACAAAGGGAAAACCACTACAGGGAGGTATAAACTTAAATTATACACACACACACAGCTTTTTGCTTCCCTGTATGGGTGAAAAGACCAAATCTGCTTGGGAGGCACTCCTTCAGTTTAAAATTCTGGTTGTCTCTTCACTACACCAAGCAGTCAAAATTCATACACACAACAACAAAAACAGTCCCACCTTTTTGCACTAAGAGATCTTTTATGAAATTCTGCAGACAGAGCCCTCAAGTGAGTGTGGGGTGCTTTTCACCTCGGCGTGTGCAGTTTGCGGGAAATTCGAGTCGCCCCCCTTGCTTTCGAGACACCGCTCACTCTTTTGGGAGTGTCGGGCTGGGTGCGGCTGGAGCGGAGCGAGACGTCCTTCCCCTAATACAGACTGGACAACAAACCTGCAGCCCCTTCTGTCTGTCAGAAATCCTGTCCGTGACTCCAGTTTAAATGTCATGATTCAATAACGCGAGTGGGACTTGTGAGAGGTTTGTTTGATCTCAGAGTGCAAAAAGGACACAAAGGGATTTCAGTTTAAATCACAACAGCAATAATGCACCTTTATTTTAGTGCCAACAAGGGTTATGTGATAGCGGAGAGGGGGAGAGAGAGAGAGAGAGAGAGATAAAGAAAACAAAGTAAAGAGAGAGAGAAGAGGGGGGGTATAGCTACCAACAGATGAGATGGGGTCGCTGGGGTCTTTTTCTGTGGGAGATCTCGCCGAAATTAACTTAGTCTTATGCAATTCTTCCCCAAAGTTACCTTGTTTCCAATGTGCTAATAAGCACCCTAAAGGAGAAGTACCTGGTATGGGAGCATTGCTGCCCCAAACCCCTTTAATCTTCTCCATATTACAACAACAATACACCACAAATGCCGAACCTGCGACGCTTTCGCAGTTGTCTTATGGACGGTGCCTAGGCAATACCAACAGTAATTCCTTTAGCTCAACCAAGCGCAGCTTTCGCCACGTCTAACTGGCAGGCACCCAGACCAGGTAAAGCACCTTACCTTTCCCTCCTGGGGACATTGTGAGCAGCAGAGACGGTCGCAGCCGGATGGGCTCCCCAAGAATCCCTCGGTGCCGGCTGGAGCATGATCGGGTCGTGAGCTCGCTCAGCAGCACTCACAGGGTCCCATCTGGGGTCGCCAAAATGTTATCATTCAGAAACACAAAACCACAGAATGATTATATGAAGGTGCTTTGTTGAAGAGCTCTGGGTGCCAGGGGTACACATACCCAAATCTGACCCAACTTGTTTTTGAGTTGAACATGTTTTATACTCTATCATTATATAACTTACATATTAATTATTAAACTTACATTGTTCTATTGCATGCATTGTTTTACCCAAGCATGGATTTCCTGTGATCCCCTCTCAACCCCCTAACATTGTTTCTCATGTTCTTTAAACAATAATTATATCTAATCACATCTAACAATTGTATCACTTATCATATACTGATTACACAGGTGCGGTTTCACCTGATCTTTAGCAAGCACAAGGCCTAACATTTCCCAGGGCCTACTTTTAACACTTTTCCCAGGGCTTGCCAAGCCTAACTTTCTTTCTAAGTCCCCGAATTTTCTATGATTTTAAAACCTTTTACTATCATCACCAGCTTCCACAGGTGTTTCTTTATTTCCCCATTTATTCTTTCTACCTGACCTGAGCTGTGTGGGTGCTGGGGATTGTGAAGGTCCCACTGTATTCCTAAAGCTGCCATAAGCCCCTGAAGGATCTTTCCTGTAAAATGAGTTCCCCTGTCTGAGTCTATTGCTTCCAGAATCCATTTTCTTGGAATTATTTGTTTTAGAAATCCCTTGATAACTGATCCAGTGATTGCTGAGGAAGTCAGAATTGCTTTTACCATCCTGTTAGCTGCCCTGGTGTCAGCAGAAGATTTAAGATTTAAGAAGATTTAAGCCTTCCTGCTCAGGGCATTTCAGTGCCAGGCTTTTACAAACACACCCAGCTCAGCCAGTTATGCTGACCATGGGGGCAGTAACCAGTGCTTTGTCTAATTTCCTTTCGCTAACAATAGCAAGTCTTGTCACTCTTTTCCCTTCTGTTGCCCTTCAAAACCCATCCAGAAACATACTTTTTCTCTCAGTCCCGGGAATGTCTCATAAATCTCTCCCAGCCTGGGTCTGTAGCTCTGTCACTTGAATGCAGTCATGGGTTTCTTCCCAGCCCCCTCTCCAGGCTGTTTAAACAGGAGGCTGGGTTAAACCCTTCCCCTGGCCTCAATTCTAAATCCTCCTGTGCCACTGAACAAGTTTCATACTGTAATAACTGAGCTCTGCTCATTCATTTGGAGGCTCTTTTGGTGTACAAAGCTTTAACCTGATGCTAGACTTGAACAATAGGAGATCCTCCTGCCATCAGTTTTTGGGCCTCAGTTCCCATTAAAGGTGTGGCTGCACAGTTCTGGGACAATGAGGCCACTCTGGCCCCTGGGTTAAACATTTTAGCATATGCATTCATTTGGCATGGCCCTGTTTAACATTCACATACAATTCAAACTTATTTTCTGATTCTGGAAGAGCCATGGCCTGGGCATCAATCCAATAATTTTGTGTTTTCATTTTCTCAAGTTTGTTCTCTTTCTCTTGTCCATACACTGACATGGAGGCTGTCTGGGGTTAAGATGTTCTACAATGTTCTTGCTAGAAAAGAGCATCCTCAATCCAACTCCTGCAATTCCCTATTAACTATCAGAATTGTTGCAGGTCCTTTTTAGTGCTGGGTAACATTACTTCTGAGATTCCCTGGACGCAGTCCGGGTCAATACACCACAAACTTTCAGTCAAAATAAGTCCCAAACATTTAACCTTTTTCTCCACTATTTGCACCCTTTTTCAAATACTCAAAGGTGCTTTTTAGCCTGAAAATTAAGGCATTGCACAGCGCTTCTTCTACCACTTCTCCTTGTCCTCCTGACTGGATCAAGTCATCCACATCCTGCATTAAGCCAGTCCCTGGGGGTGAGGTCAATTCCTTTGATATTTCCTGCAAGGCTTGCCCCAATAAGGCCGGTGCTTCCGTGCATCCCTGCAGAAGGACCGTCCATGTCTTGAGCATTTTCCCTTCTACCTCTTGTTGCCAGCCCAAGGCAGAATTCTGTTTGCATCCTCTGGAAGTGGGCAGATCCCCAGAAAGCATCTTTTGCATCAAGTTCTGAATGGCAGCAGTGTGAGGAGGGCACCTGGTTGAGGATGGTGTAAGGATCTGAGACTGTGGGGTGCCTCGGTTTCACCACCTCATTTATTATTGGGTCCTGCAGCATTCTGTGGATTCCATTGGATTTCTTGTTTGGCAGGATAGGAGCATTATATGGAGATATCTCTGGCTCCCAAAGCCGTGTCCTGAGCAGGACTCACAGACAGGCTGTGAGCCCTTCCTTCCCTCCCTTGGAACAGGGGATTGCTTTTCGACACCTCTTGTCCTGGTTGCTTCAGGGAAATTTGGAGAGACTCCAAATCTAATTTTCCCTATTTCTTCGGGGCTGCCCACACTTATCCCATGAATTATCAAAGACATTTTTGGCATTTTCCCCTTTAGGTCGAAGATTCAGAATGGATAATGAAGCCTCTGTGCCCATCAGGAAAGGCCTCCTCTGGATCCAGAGCCACCCTGAATGTTCCCAAGGGCTGCAGTGTGGTGGGTCCCTGGTGGAATGGGAGCTGTGACACCGCTAAGAATCCGTGTCCATCAAGGGCTGGACTTGCTCGTGCTGAGGGTGCTCCTGTCTGTGCTTGCAGTGTCCTTGTGCCCTGCAGCTGGAAGGCTGATTCCTTGCCAGGGGCTGTTTGGGTGGGCTGTCCCCTGGCCAGGAGGGCAATGCCTGTGCCAGGTGCTTGTGGCCGAGGGTGTCCCCTGGGTGCTGGGGCCCCCTTGGGCCCTGGGCTTGATCCCTCAGGGGCTGTAGGAACTGTGCCATGGCCTTTGCCTTCAGCTTGGCCTTTTGCTCATCCCTTGCTGCATTCAGCTGCTGAGCCTTTGTGAGCAAGTGCTGCAGGGGCTTCTTCTGGCCCTGCTGCAGCCCCCCTCAGTGCCTGGGGGTGCTCATCCTGTGGCAGCTGCTGAGCTTTCTGCAAAATCCTTCCTTTCTCCAGGGA